TTCGAAATTACCGCATTACCAGAACCGCATTACCAGTATTCTGTGCCCGCTTTATTCACGTATGCATCCATGAGATACTTTATAAACGATACACATGCGAACAATCACGAAAACACCCATGCAGCCAGCCCGCTCGCCGAGATTCGAAAGTTTGAGCGAACTACCAGTGTTCAGCGGTTTTACCCGGTATCCGCGCGCTGTATTCACGTATGCGACCAAATTTTATGTACAGTACCCCGGAATTCGAAAGTTGGACCGAACTACCAGTGTTCTGTAGTTTTGCGCGGGCTGCTCCCGCTTTATTCAAGTATGCATGCAGAAGATACCGCATACACGTTACACATGCGAAAAATCCCGAAAACACACATTGAGCCAACACGGTCGCTTGGATTCGAAAGTTGGACCGAACTACCAGTAATCAGAGGTTTTGAGCGAATTTCGGCCGCCGCTTTATTCACTTATGCATCCAGAAGATGCTGCGTACACGAGGCACATGCGTAAAATCACGCAAACACCCATGGACCCAGCCCGTTCGCCGGGATTCGAAATTAGGACCGAACTACCAGAGTTCAGCTTTATTCATTTATGCATCCAGAAGACACTGCATACACAACAGATATGCGTAAAATCACAAAAAACATGAGTGTAGCCTGCCTGCTCACCGGGATTCGAAAGTTACCGTATACCATCTCAAAGGAGCAAAGAAAAATCTTTAATCTAAAAAAAAAAAAAAAAAAAAAGTGTGAATTTAATTTTTATTGGTGCGAACTTATTTAAAATATCATTTGCATTAAAAGATAATATCTAAATTAAGTGCACGTATCTAATAACATAAAAAAATATATTATTCCAAAAAATCAAATTTATTATTAAAAAAATAACAACATATTTTTAAAAAATAGCTTTTTCAGATTTTTTAATTAATATCCCAGCTGATTAAAGTTGTACAACTTCAAGAACGTCATCATTTAAATTTAATGTAATATAATAACTTTTATTCAATATCAATAAAAGAATTAACGTGACAATCATCCTAACCTGAAATTAAAAAAAAATTGTGAAAAGCAGCTGTTTATTTAAAATGCCTACATTAACGAAATATTTTTAAAATACAGTTAGGTAACATGCAATCGCGTGCTTTATTCAACTTTAGAATATAACCTTGATTTGTATCTGCGGCGATTCAAGAAACTGTTGCAATCGGAAAAATGAGCCCGAAAATTAGCGTTTTCACAGTTTTTAATTAATATCTCAGCTGATTAACGTCCTACGAAGATGAGAATGGTATCATTGGATTCGTAGAATTTTTTGGAATCCGCAGACACCTGCCTCGAATTCCAACTCAGCGCCGTTCCATAGATATTTAAGAAAAAAGAAATTGACACGTGACCTTTCGCCAGCACAAATCTCGAGCGGAAGCAATTGTCATCCCCCCGGCGCTTTCGAAAAAGCAATTTTATCTCAGCTAATTCCGAGACGGTTGCCACTCCGAAAAATGAAATAACGTTTTCGCAGTTTTTAATTAATAACTCCGCCGATTATTGTCGTACGAAGATGGGACCGGTATCGATGGATTCGTTGATTTTTTTCGAAATACGGGGATATGCGTTTCGAATCGCAACTCGGAGCCGTTCCGCAGATATTCGAGAAAAACGAATTTGGCACTCGGCCAAATCCCTAAAATAGGGGAAACCCGTGAAAGAAAGTGCAAAACGTAGGGAAATGTAGGGAAAATGAAAATCAGTTTTTAATTAATATCTCGGCTAATTAAAGTCGCACGAAGATGCCGATGGTCAATCCGGCGAGCCACGGGCATTCTGAATCCAACGGTACCTTCCGCTAAGCTCTACACCCAGCCGTTCCCGAGGAGATGATGTTACAAACACACAAACAGACAGAGGCACACAGATTTTAATAGTATAGATAATTAACGCGTTAAAGAAACGAATTAAATTTTCTAAAGCTCCATTTTAATCAGTACTTTTCGTTTATCTTTCGAAGCCCAAACAGAAAGAAAAAAAAAGGTAGTTCTAGATGATTAATTTCTTTTCCAAAAGAGAAAAAAATTATTTATTTTGAAATTTCTTTTATAATATGTCAGTTCTAATTCCGAATTTAGCATTTTACCTTCCCCAGTTTTTTCTATACACAAATCTTTATTTTTTTTTTCTGCAAGCAAATATTGAGAATAATAAATATTATAGACAATCTTATTTTTTATTTCAGTTAATTAATCCAACCTATGCTTAATATAGATTTATTTTAGACGACCCGTGATTGATATGTGATTTATAGATAAGAAATTTTTAATTAAAATAATTCATCTATCTTTTTAAGATATTTTTGCCATGCTTCTGTGAACACAATAACTTTATTCGGTATACGATAAAATTTCAGTAATCGTCTGTGAAAAGAAAAAATTTTTTTCTCAAGCTAAAACAAAGACTTGAAAGTTTACTTCAAAATGCGCGGAAATATTTTTTGCCTGTTTGAAATATGATTAATTCACTCAGTTCGTCGAAGTAATAAATAAATAAATAAATATTTTATAAAATATGCTTTTAACTTAAACTAATAACATAATTAATGAACTGAAAATAGAAAATTAATTTATCATATATCCAATTAAATGGGAACAAGAGATTAAATAATTCTTTGATAAAATTCGTCTAGGAATTTTATATCATGAGGAGGTGAAGTGCCTCTGACAAATTTATGAAGCTGATGGCTTGCACTTTTTAAAAATGCAACTCTATTATTAGGTTTCATTATTTAGGCTCCAAATCTTTTATTATTCATGATATAAAACTGCAGATGAATTTTATAAAGACAGTTATTTAATCTCTTCTTCCCATTAAAATATATGAAAATTATTTTCACACTTTTAATTCATTAATTAAATTATGACTTGTACATAAAAGCTTAGTCTATAACAATTTTTATTTTTATTTTATTTTTTGCTTGTTTATTTTCATCTTTTGAGTCTCAATGACACATTATGAATCAAATTCTCAGATGAAAAATCATTTCTTGACATTGTATAATCAGTCTTTTACTTCCAACAATTCTGTTACAGCAAATAATCAAAAAACATTGAGCCATTTTTACAAAAAATAAAAAATTACGTTGAAATTTCGCATAAACTTCATTTAAATAATTTTTTTCCCATTATGTCCGATGGCGCAAAAATGCAAAATTTAAAATTTTTTAGTTTGTTCGTTAAACGAAGATTACTGTGAAAAATCATTTCAGCATTAAGTTTTTAATAAACATTTAATTTTTTGGAAAGAAATTCTTTCACCACACTGTATTGTCATAAAAAATCTAGAAAGCTGCAGAATTAATACACTTTCTATCTATCTATAAGGAAAGGGGAAGAAAGATTGCATTTATAGGCATTTCCCCCTTCTGCTTAAACGTTTCTGAACATATTTTTAAATATATATTTATATTACTCTCAAACAGATTTTTTTTTTCATTTACAGGCACATATACGTTTCGAGAGCATTTGGGCTAACGACATTTTGGGCTAAAAATATTTAAAAACAGTGTATCTTCAGACTTCCGATAGACAACCTCGCGCTGGAGATAAAAATGCTTTATTCCTTAAAGTGTTGTCAGGGCTCATTTTGAAACTCTTAATTTTTTTAACCAAAAATTTGTTACAAAACAAATATTAAGTTTTACAAAATATGAAATAGACAATAAAACAAATTCCAGATTCCAAATTCGGGCTTCAGTGTGCCCATGTTCGGATGGAGGATTATATTACTCAAAATTTGATGACTTCATTATTTAGTTTCTTAAAATTCAATACGGGGTGATAATATTCGGTGGCAACAGTTTGAAAAGTAATACATCGGATTTAAGTGATGCAACACAAAATGCCGTTTGAGACCGATAGCGCTTCTGAGCTAACTCTCCTTTCAGCTAAAAAGTGTAGAAATTGCCCAATTAACATATATTTTTCATTCTTGTTCTAAAAGAGGGCGAAGACTTTGTTCTGTAATCTGTGAAAGTTTAAAAATTTTATAGAAGACACATTTTCAGATGTTGAAATTTAGAAATTATTAAACGTCGAATAGATGAAAATATCTAACGATTTTGGAAAATTCGTCCCAAAATCAGTTTGTTCTTTAAACGAAGGTATGTGCGAAAAACCGCTTCATTAAATTAAAAATAATCTAAATCGAATTACGAAAAAATTACTTCATCACATTGTATTGGTATCTACAAGCAGTGTGTGTACGATATTTGAACTCGATAGTTTATCAACTAAATAAAATGTTACAAAATTAATGTAAAATAGAATGTCATATAGCCCGGTAGTGCAGTAACTATCGCATTGCGCAGCAGCACCACAGGTCCGGGGCTCGATACCCGGGCTGGGCAGGGTCGACTCTGCTTTTCATCCCTTGAGTGGATCGATAAAATAGTACCAAGTTCGCTTGGGGACTAAACACCGGGAGTCCTGCGACAAACTGACCATTTGTCCAGGGCATATGCTCATGCATTCCGGGGCTCACGGTCAAGAAAGCAGGTATCGGTCACTGCAGGTCTTGGCCCACTAGGGCTGTTGCGCCACTGAGCTTAGTTTTAGTTTGAATGTCGTATTCTAACAATATCAACCAGTATGCACGATGTAGGATGCCATAATTCTAAATCTTCATCCAATTTCTAGTGAATTTAACGCTTCATGTGTTACTGATCTTGCCAGGTAACTTCAAAATTCTCCAGAATGTCAAGAATTAGTATCGGATACATTACAAGTCAGCAGAAATTTTCGTGTAAAACAAATTGCAAAGATATCCTCCTAATACGGAAGTTGGCTTCCATAACTATTAGAGTAAGCGGAACTATTAATCACCCGGTACACGTATGACTTGAAATGTCATAATTTCTAAATGCGTGTCCATTTTCAGTAGCACATTTCAAAAGCAGGAGTATTCATAAATATTGATATTCTTCAAAGATGTGAAAACTAAGGTATCGTGACTTACCTTGGCACTTTTGAAAGGTTTGTTCATTCGGCACGCTTTCTTGATGTCCATTTCCGTCGTGTTGACGCAGCCTGGCTGAAAAGAAAAGCAAATATGCAGTTCAAAAACCAAGCTGGGCGGGACCACATAGCTGAGGAAATAAAGAGATGCGAAATTGTAACCTTGAAAACCAGAAAGGACATTCTTCTTTATATTTGGTAAATGAATGAAAAATATATTCAGAAGTTCCAGGTTTAATTTTATGGCATTTATTTATGTTCACTCTCAAGTTTTGTTTTGATGAATTCGGAAACAAATCCAAAACTGAGAAATATTTCAACAAATAATTTTGAAGTGTTTAAAATGAATGGTATGAATGAAAATAAAACTGCGTGCAGTGAAACTACGTTTTACATTGAAAAGTGATAAGAAGGCAAATTTAGGTCTCTACGTTACATATAAATTAAACTTAAAAGCATCTAAAGTTAGTATTAAATTGGAATCAAAGCAAGGCTATTCCTCAACAATATTATTTAGATGCTTTAAATTTATTTTACTTCAATCTTGCAGAAATAGCAGCGGATGGGTTTAAAAAAATTTGTTTTTAATTTTTAGCCTATAATGTTTCTTTTTATATATAAATTTATACAGGGTCGGTTTAAGAGTTCGTCAGAAACCCCACGGCAAATTAGGTTATTTAATTACGGCAAAGCCTCGAGGGCTATCTGTCTAAAGGGAGGGATGCCTTCGTGGAGGACTTTCTAAGGGAAACTGGCTCGTATACACGTTACACATGGGGAAAACCACGAAAACACCCATGCAGCCAGCCCGTTCGCGGAATTCGAACCTCGGACCGAACTACCAGTGTTCAGCGACTTTACCGTTCGGCCGCCGGTGAGCCTACCCCACAGCAAAAGCCATGCCAAGTATAAATATTACTAAAACGATACTACGTTTCTTACTGAAATAAGTGTTTCGCCAATTTAAAACTTGCAACTCTCTACGCACAGAAATTCGACTTCAGCCATTGATATAACATCGACCATAGTGTGAAAAATCTCAAAACACAGTTGTACATCGCTGTATTTCTGACTTATTTGTCAGCTTGGTTGCAAAATAATAAAGCAGAGAAGGACATCTATCATTTCTCTGCCAGTATATCAAGGATTTTAACATCACGTCATAGTCGCGCAGTTGTCACCATCGAATTAAAAGTTTCCGATATTCATCATTCACTGTCAGCATCCAAAAGCATATAATTTAACAGAAGGTTATCCCACACACATATTACATGAGAATATTGAAGTGTAGGATGCGTCTACGAATAAATGTTACGTCTTGAATCTTCTAAAATAGTTTAAGCATATACAGATTGTCTTCAGCCCAGGACCGATCCAATATCGCCATTTATGTAAATATAAAAATTCTGTCGATCACATATGTCCGCATGATGTCTTTGTGAATGTTACTGCGCATTCGTGTAGGACAATGAAAGTGACAACTCGCAGTTTACGTGTAAAAAACATTTATTAGATTTACACAAAGAAAAGTGTAAGAAGGAACTCTGCTAGACAAAACATGGCGAGAAAAAACAAATTTTAAAAGAACAGGAAGACGACACAGTGTGATTGTAAATGGTCATTTATGATGATGCAACTAATGATTAAATTGTGTAAGAGATTGTCTGAAACGTCATGACTCATTTTTCTGTGTGTTTCAAAGGTCCTTTATAAAGAACAATGAACAGTCAATAGCATATTGCCCATTTTGTTTGATAACTGTTTGCTTTCTTTTAATGAGCTTCGTAATTCCTCATTCACAAAAGTACCTAGCTTTATCAACGAAAAGTTGAACAGGGTGCTAATTTAAAGCCTTGTCTGAACTGAATGCTATACCATGAAATCTATTTTGAAGAGAGCAAAACAACTAAAAATCTCTCAGCACAAGATCAGGCGAGTAGAGTATGATACGCGTGGCAGCACTTTTCATCCAAACTCTAATAATTTTTGTTAGGTGATCAAAATTATGTGATGTCTCGCCTTATCGGGATAGAAGATATCGGGATAGTGAAGCAAGTCACATCAATTATAACCATATTATCGGAATTCGGTACAGATCTATGCAAAATCGAACAAGACATCATAGCATAACAAATCAACTGGCAATGCATCAAATATAATAATTAGGTACATAACACGGCATCTAAATAATTTAATATTCAATCTAAATAATGCTCAACTGACACTGCAGTACTAATTGGCACTACTTTAAGGACAAATCTTATAATTGGAATTTACTGAAAACTTTTATGTTACATGCATTCCAATTCAATCACGGTCGTGTTTTGCAACTACATGTATTGTATAGAACAGAATGTATTACCAGTACTGCGCGGCACTTCATTGGTAAGAACAAAGTGTTCATCTAACACGCAACTTTCTATGTAACAAATTATATGAAAGCAATAATTACAACATATTGTTACGAAATGTACAGGCGCGGTAAGATAGCTTCCCCGCAAAGCAGTTTTAGGGTTACCATAAAAAGGCAAAGGAAGGCAGGGTTGCCACATTTGGCGTGAAATCGACCATTTGGTGACGAAATTGGCGATATACCATGGACGGATGGAGAACCTTCTGGAACGAATTCTTACCGGTTTAGCCCAGAATGTTCTCGAACACAAGCCGAAAGCTATATAAACCCTTCTGGTCCGCAGTCAGTGTGTCTCAGAGAATATGCCTCATCTAGCGAGCCGTGCGGAGTCGATCGAGTTGACAGCCGGGCAATGAGTGCCGCCGAGTGGGTCGTCCAGTGCATCGAAAGACTCTCGTAGTGTATCGCGGTTAGTGCATCGTCGAGAGAGCGTGTTGAGCTCCGGGAACGACTGAACCGAAGAGTCGAGAGCCGTGCCCTGTGTGTCGTCGAGTGCATCGCGAGTTGTAGCGTGGAGAGTCTCGAGAGTACGTGGAGTTCCGAGAACTGTACTCTGCTGCTTTGCAGTGAGCGTTCGATACACCATGGTGGCCGGCTATCAAACAGGCTCTGCGAAAGGCACAATGCCCGAGCAACTTGTATAAGATCATTTGCAACTACCTACAGGATAGAAGACTCCTGGCAATCCATAACGCAGGGACATTAGAGCAGAAGCAGACAAGAGGATGTCCGCAGGGGTCGGGCGCGGGCCCACATCTGTGGAATTTGACTTTTAACGAAGTTCTATCAGCAACATGGCCAGCGCACATCCAGATTTACGCATATGCTGATGATGCGACATTAATAGTAAAAGGTTGGACTAGAGATGAGTTACAAAACAACTGTAACGAGGTATGTCAACTATTCCACGTCCTATGCATTAACTTAAACTGCAAATTGCAGAACACAAGTCGAAGATTCTGTTAATCCCCAAAAAGGGAGGATCTCTTATAAGAAGACCCACAATTAAGATCAATGGACAGAGGATACAGATAGTTAACCAACTGAAGTATCTGGGTCTAACGTTTGACTATAAGATGACCTGGATTACACACATCCAGGATATCAAACTCAAGACAATATCCATAGCAAAACAGATACGGCTATTCTATGGTCATAAATGGGGTCTACATCCCCACATCCAAGAGATTTTTTTCATTACCGTGGTGGAAAAAATCGTTACTTACGCAGCTGCTGTTTGGACTCACCCAATGCAAGGTAGGAACATAAAACACCTTTACACCATACAAAGACCCTTTGCATTGGGTATCACCAGAGCTTACCGTACGACCTCCTCAGACGCCATTAACGTGCTCGCTAGTCTCCTTCCTCTACACATTCGTGTCGAAGAGGAGGAAGCAAGACAATTCGTATTGCAACTGAAACGACCAGTTTTTTTGATGAAGTCAATTACCATCCGGAAGATTACGAAGCCAACAGCTGCCAGTTCAGCGTCCATCCAGCGGTCAAAGGCACGGGAGTAAATATTACCATCAATCCCACTACGACTCACCATCCTGCACAGCACACCATCTACACAGATGGTTCGAAGATTGACAAAAGAGTGGGAAGTGCGTTTGTAGTTATGCAACAAGGTACAATAAAAGACCAATGGAAGGGACAGCTGCGGCAAAATAATAGCGTATTTTAGGGAGAAGCAGTGACGATTGCGAAAGCAATTCGCTACTTGCAGTCCACAACATCCGCAACGCTACTGTCAAAACCGACAGCCTCTCATCTCTGTATGCAATAGGAAATCCAGACCATCCTTCCTGCATAATACAAGGTGTCTAAGAAGACCTGCGGAAAAATCCATCTCTCCGTACCAAATTGGAATGAATAAAAGCGCATACCGGCTACCACGGTAATGAATTGGCAGACCATCTCGCCAAAGAAGCAGCTACAGGAATTACCGATTTACAAATTGACATCCCATGGCGTGTCTCATTCCTGAAGAGGACTATGCTGAAGAGGACATTCCTGAAGAGTTATGCGTTTAAGGCAATTGGGCTATGGCAGCAGACATGGGACAATAGCGAAACTGGGAGACGGGCTCATTTCCACATCAGCTACGTGGATACCACCAGGAACATTGCGGGTCATGGACCATTTCCAGAATATTTCAACAGATTCGACATAAGCCATACCAGTCAGTGCACCTGTGGACAGACTGGCTCTCCGGAGCACTACCTAACATCTTGTCCCTTTACAGAAGAGCTTCACGTCAACTTCCCGTCCACAAATCGACAAGCCTTCTATAAGTTTTTAATAAAACAAAGGCACCTGGTCAGAAAAATCGGGCTCTTAATGGGCAAACTGGCAGGACTAAATATGGACCTGTGCCAAACTTAGCTAAATCACAGACTGCCACAATAGACAAATAGCGATTTAGTGACTGGCACCAGTATCTAATGTTTGAATCTTTGAATATTCTTGAATAATATTGAATGTTTGTACAACACTGATAGTCCTATTGCATGTATATACAAGTATTATTTAACGAAACTGTTTTATGCCAATATTGTATGGTTAACTAAATGAATATAAATGGAATTAGCATTATCTGTATCTGCATATTTATATCTTCTGTACTTATCATTTATTCGTATCATCCTGTATCATGAAACTTGTATGTATTCTGACATCCGCATATATTATCTTATTATCCTCTATCATGTAAACTTATTCATTAAACTTATCATGACCTTATCAAGTATCCTGGCATTGCATAATTTGTATTTCAGCACTAGTTCATATATCTCGCAAAATCTTAGTTATGTAACTTTATGGATCCAGTATCGGTATCCAGCATCTACATAATAATCTCGTATCATCTTGTACATGTACATATTCTGCACCATGTATCATGTATCTTGGATCTTGGTATCTGCCTATATTAGTATCTTCTGCACCTTGTAACATCCTGCAATACGTAACCTATGTGTAAAACACCCTGTATTTAACCAAATATTCTCGTACATCCTGTAATATGTTTGATATATCCCTATCATCCTTTAATATGTATTATGTATCATGCATCTTGGTATCTGCTTATATAGTATCTCTGCACCTTGTATCATATATCTTGCAACATCCTGCACTACATACCTATTGTTAAAATGCAAAAACCTTGCACGTTTTAAAAAATATCTGTATAGTGTAATATATAATCATATTTCTCGTATCTTCCTGTAATAATCATATATCTCGTATCATCCGTTTAATATGTAACCTATTTTGAACCTTCTTTTATAAGTATGTGTATGTCACTTATGCATGTCCTTATATTTGTCACCTTATGTATCTACCTCACCTTAAGTTCTACGTATCTGCATCTTGGCAGCTGCCAATATTTGTCTTCTGCAATTGTAACATTATCTCGATAACCCTGTATCATGCATCTTATTTCGCACCTTTCTACCATGAATCCTGCCACTTATATCACTCTGCATCTCGTATTATGTATCTGGCATCTTGCATATATCTGTATCCACAGCATCTTGTATCATATATCTCACAACATCCTGTAACATGTAACTGATTTCTGCTCCTATATATCTTATATCATAAGTATGGTACGTCACCCAATGTGTGTCACCTTAGATATGTTCTTATGAATATCCCCTTATACATCTCATGCACCCCATGTTCCTACGTAAGATGTATTTAGGCATCTGAATATATATGTATCTTTTGCACAGTCTATCTGTAGCCACCGTATGTTTTTATGTATCATTTATCTAGGCAATAGATAAAGGTGGACGTGGCGCTATACCGATTAACCGTATTGGTAGAGGGATGATGCCCACGTTCTCCGTCGCATGTCGCATGCTTTGCAGTAAAGCTGTCTCCACCATTATTGCCTGAATGTGTGAAGGCTGTGTCGCTGAACGTGTCAGCGTGTTTATAACATTTCGACGACTGTAAAAGTGATTTTGGAGCTATCTGATTAATATTGGTAAATAAAGTGTGTTTCGATATTTCATCAAGTGTCGTCGTTATTCACTCCAAATCTACGAACCCCGTACGAACGTGAAGGAAGAAAATAACGTAACAACTGGTGTCAGAAAAGAAAAACGCAACAATAGCATCTGCAATACGCAGCACCTACTATGTATTAACATTTATTTACAAATACCAACAACAGGAGGTGGAATGTAACAAGTCGCAAAGCCAACAATTGCAGCATGTTTATAAGAAATAGCAGTGTGTGACAGTGATAAGCAACTAATGTCTAATGGTTCAACCTCTGTATGATGACATATAGTTAAACAGGCATATGTGCTCAAATCAATATATATTTATTTATTTTATTTTAATTTAATTTTATTTATTTTACTATTTATTTGTTATTTATTTATTGCTATTTCTATCTCATTACATATCATTTAGTATATATTATACTGTTTAAATTATGGTTTTATATTATTTTAATATTTATTTATTCATGTATTATTATTAACTTCATGTATATAACAAAATTATTACTTTAAACGTATAATATATATATAAATATAATAAGTTACAAACCTACTATAGTAAGTTACAAAGCAATGTAATACTATATTACCATACTAGGCCATGCTTTTTTATTTAGTATAATGTATGTAATCAAAATTGTTAAATCTAACTAATGTGTAATATGCATAATATACCTGTCATAAAACATGATATTGCCTTGGATCATATATAAATCTTAGTATAACTTTCTGTATCTAAAATATTCCCATGCACGTCATCAAAATTACTTTATTATAAATGTAATGTACATTTTAATTGTATATGTCTTGTATATGTAATGAATATGTAAGATTATGTACTATGTACCTCATTTGTAATATACCATTATATGTAATATTATGTAATATGTACCTTAATTGCAACATGCTGTATGAACCAAAGTAGTATTGCCACAATACTACTTTGGTTCATACAGCAAAGCTTACTATCTACCAAGCTTATTATCACAGCCACCAAGCCTACTAATATTATCTACCAAGGCCCTTGTATGACACTGTATTTTAAATCGACGGCTGGTATGAGAGGTTTGTGTGGCCGCTCACCCTTTCCCATACCATCTTGGGGTGCTCTAGATCAGTGTTTCTCAACTGGATTAACTCCAAGGACCGGTAAAATATTTCGGTACGTTCTCGCGGACCGGTAAGTTTAATAATTCGACCCATAGGCACAATTTTTGGACAGATAGCTGGATATTTCGCGGACCGGCAAATATTTCTTGCGGACCGGTGCCGGTCCGCAAGAAGAACTAATAAAAATTCAAAGGGATTAGTCATGTATGTTTGAAAGATACTGCAAAATTTGTTTCTGCCCATTGTGATTTAGTACAATCGTTTTACTTATACAAATAAAGTTAATAAATACAGTTCAACTGGAAGACATTCAATTTAATACCATAATGAAAACTATGCATAGAATACTTAGTGCTCTTGAAAACCTATCGAAAGTGTTTTAAAAATTGAATTTAAGTTTCTTATTTGTCAAAAATCTTATATTACGAAAATTAATGTTTTTGGATCTAGTGCTTAAATGTCTGAATTTTAATATAATTTGCTGAAGGAAATTACTATGAATTTCAAAGAATATGCATGAAAATATATTATTACCACTGGCCTATGGACATCCCAGAAGGCACGCTCTTGACTATCTAGAACTTTTCTTTCTAACTTATCCCGCTTTTTATCCACCCTGAAAAGAATACAGGAATTTAAAATATTATGAAGTGTTAAAAGACGTTTTTCAAATCAAAGAGAAAAAGAAAATAAAATGCATTTTAATAATTGTTTTTATACTGTTTATATAGATCATTATCTCAAAATCCAAGGAGTTCGAAAACAATTAAAAGTCTAAAGACGAATAAATATCTCTTAAACGGTCGGTCGTAGACTCGCGATTTTACTTCAAGAAATGAATAATTATAGTAGTAGGCTTTGGATCTGCGATAATTTTGATAAAGTGGCAGACATCTTTAAGTAAAAATATAAGAAACTTTAGTTATGCAGGCCTTCTGCGAAGACAGTTTTGATCAGTAAATACTTCCTTATCCTTTGAAAATCTATCAAAAAGTAAAAGGAGGATCTGAAATATGCGCTAAAAACTTCAAAAGCATATGATACAAACCTCTTTCATCCTTAAAAAGGAATAATATTTCGAGAGCATTTAAAACTGATTTACAAAATTTCTAATTTTAGCATTCCTAGAAAATCTAAGTTTAAAATAGGGGCTTCTAAATAAATACATTTCTCATTAAAGTGTCTTTTAAAAATCTTATAAGAATTTAATGACAAAATCTACAAGATTTATAGTCTAACAAACTTACTTAGCCTGGGCCTCGGCTTGCATAAAAATAAATTCCCACTTCCTCGAGAACATCTTCTGCAAACGCGCTAGATTTTCAGCTTCGTAGTCTGCTAATTCCAAGCGCGTCTTGTTCTGCATAGTGCGTTTGCACAGGTAGACGGCTACAATGAGGAAAGAAATTAATTTCATAATGCAGTGAACTCCTTAAAAGAAAAACCTGAAAATTGATCCTTTAGATTCCAATTTAGCATCAGATGAATATCATGCTTTATTCTTTATTATTTTCTTTAATTATGTGTAGCACAAAGTGATGCAGAGGCGTTATAATGAAATCACAAATATGTAGAGACTGAGATAGCTTGCTAAGACGTGATATTTTGCTGTTTCAGAAATATTTAATGTCTATGAAATTTTGCTTCTTCACGAAAGTCCAAAGAATTGAGTTATCGCATGTTTATAAGTTGCACTTTAAAAGATTAAGTAAGTAGTAAAGGTGTATAATTGAGATTAAGTTACAATGATGACGCATTTATGCATTTTTCTATTTATATTTTACAAGACAAAAAACGCATAGGAGATGGAAACTTTAAGATAAAATAATACGCCGAATATATATTAATTTAGATGTCAAACAACAAAAAAATTAGCGTTTATATTTTCAAATTTTCACAGACCAGCTTCGATGGTTTTACCGAACCATCATCCTCAGCTGAACTGATTTAAAATTGATGTTATGCCATATATAATACCAATTCTGAAGAGCCCCGTTCTGTTGTTAGACAAATGAAATAGTACTGGATTTCTGATATAAATCTCTTTCTCATTAGTTTTTTTGCATAAAATTTACAGTGACATCAAAATTCTTTTGGCGGTTTGAAATCGTCAAACCCCTACTGCGATGACGGTTACGGATAGAAACTAACCTCAGAAGCAGTTGTTTTTCTTCCAAGTCTTATCATATCTTCTTAGAAACAACTTTAGACTCTTTAAATTGTTTATAATGGAGAAAAGATGTTTGTCTTCAAATATTCAACCATCTTGAGACTTCTATAATTGTTAAATCTACGTATAAATAGCTAAAAGTTTTAATCTCAAAGATTAGAACTCTGGTGCAGTGAAAAAAACCAAGGAGGTTAGAGTAGAAGAAGGGGGGGTTCTTAGTTCCTCTACTATCGGGGTACATAGTACATAACCTACCTTCTATGAAATGATATAATCATTTCAGCAAAATAATATCAATAAATAAACAGCTACATATTTAAACGACAAATATTTATTTGTTTTGCAGTTTGACAGCAAAGCATATGAGTTATTAAAAAGGAATGAAAAAAAAAGGTGGAAGTAGCTTTAAAAAGTAAAGAAAGCCTGCATACAGCTGTATGCTTTAGGCGAGTAATATTGCACACACTATGTAATGCTACCTTTCATAAGAGTCCCAAGATTTCGAAATCTAAAACAACAAGTCAATCTATATTTAAAAACTGAGGCAATTTTCGCATCACGAAAGGACGGAAGGAAAACACGCGATTACCAGACAAATCGATACTTGACCCACCAAGGCAGTGTAGTTTGGAGGGAGGGTTTCTTCAGAGATTTCGAAGGGGGGGATACCTGCCCATACGGATGATCTCCAGCTGTTTACGACTACTCTGCGTGGAATTCTGGTTGAACTGCGCATAATAAATTCTATATAAAACCTGTACGTCTTCTTTGGTTTTGGTTTACGTTTCTTTGGCTCGTGCAGTTTTTATATAAGGAATCGGAAAAACAATTATGCCTTCTTTCTTTATTCCAATAACTTCCTGCAATAATTATCACGCACTTTTTCTCAACAGATTATTCAAGAGAGAGTTCATGAAAATTTATGATAATTTTAATGAAGGTGTAGTGTTAAACGTAGTTTTCACCTAAATTTTTACGGAAAATGTACAGCTATCACCTAATAAAGGAAAAGCAACAAGTAATAAAATGAGTTTTTATAAAAGAATTATCTGCTATATTATGTTGAAAAACTATTGTTTAGTTTTCAAATATGTAATCTATAGGATAATTCTAGCTTATCTTTCTGCTTAAATCCGTAAATAATTCATTTCTAGAACGATACAGATAAAAGTATTTCAGTAGTAGGCTTCAGTATGATTAGTTATTTGCATATTACTTTCAAGAAGTAAATAGTTGTTTAAGGGCTTGCCCATACCACACAAACGGGAAATGCTCTGTGTGCTTGGAAAAATTTCGTACCAAATTAAATCTGCTCGACTAAACGCGTGGAAATTAATATTAATTTCGTCCCAAATAAGCTTTTTTTTTTAATAAACAGTAATCGATAAGGACGTAAAGGACGACAGCTCTCATCCTCCCTGTTCTTAAAATGTTTCTGTTGCATATATCTCTTTATTACATTTCAAATTTGTTTGCAATGTGACTAATAAGCTCATCTCGGGTCTTGTGATAACAGGACAAAATTCTCCGAACGTTTCGTCATAATTATCATTAATTAAACGGCATTTTCAATGTTTTTACTTTCTTGTAATATACAACAGAATTTACTCTTAAATTTGGAAACACAACTGTATATTCGAGAACAAATGTTTAATTCTTATATTTAGATATTTACTAAATTTTTTTCTCGGAAATAAATCCATCGTATTGAGAAACAAATATAAAATTTAAAACAGATGATATATGTATGTTCTAAAACTATCTTTCCCGGGTTTTAGAAATATTCGAAACTTTAAAGGCGTAGGTTTGATGATCTTACTTTCAGTGTTGGACACTACTGATACATGATAAAAAGATTCGAATATATTTTGCTTCAATTTTTATATTCACTAAAACGTACAACATCTAACTTACCGTAGTCCGTATTTTCGGGCTCCCAGCAGTTGGACGGCCAAAAGTAAGGAGTCTGAAAACAAGATAATACTTATCAGCAGCAATCTCATTTGCACAGCGGCGAATAAATAGATTATTTACACATTAAAGAACTCCAAAATGATTAGGTTGTTAATTAGTAAATACTCTTCCATAGGTATTCAGCAGGATTATTTTATTTTCTCCGAACACCTTAAACTAAATATTACTGTTTTATTCACACGACATAATTCCTATCTCCTTTTCACTAATCAAAAACAAGTCCTATCCAAATAAAAAGCCATTGCTTCCACGTTAGTCATTGCTAATTCGGGAGTTCAGAAACGTACAATTTATGCCTAATGGATTTATAATTAGGTGGATATCTGTCTAATGGATTTTAAAAGTTGTTTTTAACCTGTTATTAAACAAGAATCAAAACTTTCTTGCGGCTGCTTCATACGCTAGGCGCCAAGCCTACTTTGTCTTGCTTTCCGTTTAGCTTACAATATGCGATTTCACTCATATGCCGAAGGCTGGAAATTTGTGTAGAATTAGATAGAAGGTAATGTAAGAATACAGCTGGTGTATCAATACAGAGATTGTGGATCTGATAGAATATAATTTTTTAAATTGTATATCGTCAGTCAACAGTGACAGGCGCGGTCTGAACAAAAAGTATATTGTTAGTGATCGGTGACTAATGCGGTCTGAACGGAAAGTATAGGGTCAGTCACCGCTTATTGACATGGCGTTTCGTGTTAAGCTGTAGTGTTCTTGTGTCTGTCGACAAACAAACATTTACCAGCCCTCGAAATAAATTCAAAGAACCTAAAGAATGTTGTCATTAATTTCGATATAATACAGGCATTTCGGATTGATTTTTCGGCCCAAAATGCAAAACATTCTAGCGAATTTAAATCACCCTGAAATATTTACAGTGTTGCGCAGCAGAGATAATAACAGTTCACATAATTTTAAAATTTTTAGTAATGTTTGAAGAAAAATACCGCATGCTTGTAACATGAGAGTTCTATTTTATTTCTTTATTCTACAACCCAGGTAGTTGTATGTGGTTTTCTTTATTTAGGTACAGTCTACTGATGTACAAAAAATATTAGATTCTTTTTTTTTTTTTTTTTTTTTTTTTTTTTTTGTTTTTTTTTTTTTTTTTTTTTTTTTTTTTTTTTTTTTTTTTTTTTTTTTGCGATGCTTAATTTAATGACTTATTTCAAATATTTGTCGTTTCATATGCCAAGTACGCATATTATTAATTTCAATGTAATCCTATAACTGTCGGAAATACAGCACAGAAATGAATGCGCTACATAGTACATTGGCTTATAACAAAAGTGTGGGAGAGTTGAGTTTAGGAATTTTAAAATGATTTTATAGATGGAGATCATGATTCGTTAACTGAATTTATTTTAAATATTTAAATTTTCTCTATCCTAATGAAATATATGTTTTTCCACAGCGATTTATTTACTGATTGCAACAGTACGTATTGAAGAAAACGTTCAGGAAATTACTTTTATGACAGCAATAGCAGAATTCCGTATTACAAGAAAGCTTAAATTCAGTACACCATTATTTACAACATATAAGTCGAAACTAATTGCATTATCAAATAGCTGCATATTAATTTTAACAAATTAAAACTACGCAAGTCCGGATACAGCATTTTCGGTGGCATATGCGATCAGTGGGGTTTTGGCGTCGTATGTAAATTAAGCACATTAATAATTGTAAATGGCGAAATATACTCTTATTTAAAGTAGCTTGTAAAAAAAAAAAGATTTTGCTCGCGACCTTCAAAAATGAGAGTCTTCAAGCCTTAGGCAGCCTACGCCTCGAGCTGTCTTAGCGTTAAACTATGTTCATAATTTAGTGACTGACGTAATCGCAGGCTGAACAAGTGAACTGATATGCTATGAAAGTGAATTTGGCAAATCTGAGATAGTATTTTAGAGAGTTAACTCTATGTCATAAAATATAAACTGATCTATGGCAGACAATAACAATTGTAAAATTTAAATTCAGAGTTAGCAATAACAAATTATTTCTGGACAAAAAAGTATCCGTTCGGAAATTTAGCTTAAAACATTTCTTACATGATTACGAAGAAAAATTAAGAATATCACTAAGTAGTGAAGGAGGTTTTCAATGCTGATGACCTATTCAAATGCCCTACTTTTACAGAAGAGGAGAACATAAATGAACAACGCCGAGATACAAAATGGCGGACGATAAGTCGAGTACTCCAAAATAATATTACTTCCATTCCGCCCACGTTTCATACGCTGCTTTAAATTACCGCCGCTAGTGTCAATGTAAGCTCCCAAAGGTTAATGCTTTTTGATTAACTGCACAACATTTTCTCTTCTTTTTCGTGTTCCGACCTGAATAACATATTTATCATACGCTGTGTCCTCATGTTTAAGCTGAGGAGAGAAGATAGAGGATGGAGATTTAAGATTATTTTCATAAACACGGAAGAAATGTCCAATATTTCTCGGTTGATATAACGTATACTCTCGTAAGTAAGAATATTGATTTGCGTTATCACAGCCGAAGTACTGCTCATTTATAAAGTTAATTTAATGTTCGTTACTTTCATGGAATATGAAACAGCCTGAAGTTTTCGAGAACTAATAGAAAACATTTCAGCTAGCTGAAAAATATTTAAAGAAAATCACAATCAATTCAGAGGAAGTAAATGACATGCAGAACTTTAATGCATACACCACGCACTTTGTTTGAACAAACTTCTGTTTAAGCAAGTCCTAAAATACTACATTGGTGCTTTACATCAGAACTAGGAAAGAAAGAAGAGAGAGACCGAGAGAGGAAAATCTTGTTAAACAAGCGAACGACTTATTTAAGTCGGCCATTTCAACAGCAAATCCTTTAATGCTAACCAGAAATGAGAAAACGTTCTTTTTCGCATTCTATGCGTTCACTCAGAAAAATGATATTTTGATGTTCTGAAAATCGTGACTGGAAAAATAATTTTTAAATCTCGCAGATACGAAAATTCGATTGAGAAAGCAAGTTCTCTTTTTCATGGTGTAAGTGCATCTTTTATCATCCTCATCAGTTTAAAAAAACCTCAATTAAATAAATTATGAAAATAAACTATAAATCTTTGAATTTTTATTCATTCTGTTATTTCACCTCATGCAAGGCACTGAATGCCCTCTAAAAACTTGAAAGAAACAAAAGAAAAAGAAAATTTTTATCAGCATTTTTTTTGCCTGTTTCATAGCTGATAGATAAGAATATTTCATACAAAACTGTATTTTTTCATTTTTGGGTATTTTAGTAAAAGCTATAACTTTATAGGAAGTTGTTTTAATTCGACCTACTCATTTTACGCAAAACACCAAGAATAATGAGTAAGAGTAACTAATAATAATAATTTTCATACAATAAATGCCAAAATTCACAATGTAAAGATACTCCAAATCTACAGTTTCTGTAATCATGAATTATAGCAATTGCAGCCGTTACAATCAACAATTGCAGCCGTTAGTACACATAGTTTAGAAGATTTTTAAATCAGATCGAATGCAGTCTCGAAGACCGTCATACAACAGACAGAACAAATATCAAAACCTACGAAAGCTAGAAATAAATTTCGGATATTTTGTAGCATTTTAGAGCTAATATAATTCAATTTATTCGTAGGAGATTTCTCTGAATATTTCCGTTGAATATGAGTATAATCTGAAAATTTTATTGCTCATGGTTCTATATTTAGAAATGCATTTTCACGGTTAGACGTATTTACGCCAACCGTGAAACCATATAAGTTAGTAGCCACCAAATTTTCAAAACGCGTAGAACTCGTGAAAATGAGCATAAGAATTCATTTTTAATCAGCAATGCGGCCATTTTCGAATGTTGAATTTGATGAATTTCAGATTCCAACGGTTTTTAATCATAATATTTATTGCCTTTGACTTAATTTTAAATACACACTTATTAAATTAGCCTGTAATGGAAGAAAATGAAATTTGCCTGCAATGGAAGAAACTACGGTAAAATTTCTGCAGGAATACCGTATTTTGCCGTAAAATCGCCAAGCAGAACAATTGCTTCGAATCTATCCATCAAGTGATCGCCATAACATTTCCACCAGAACGAAAAAAAACCAAACTTATAATTAAAACATTACAGGGTGTTTCAGCAAATCGCTTATAAATCTTCAGGAGAGACAGAGTCCGCCTAAACGATGAAAAATCACATAGCAATACAGGGTCGGAAAAGCTTTCTTGGCGCGGTAAAACACAAAAAAGGAAAGACATGAATACTGCGATAAAACATGTTTGATTTTGTTTAATACAGTAGCTAACAAATAAAACAAAAACAAACAACCATCGTCATTAAAGAAGGTGTTCGGAATTTCGTCCCCGGACCGTGATGCAAGCCTCAGACCTCCGGTGCATGAAAGATCTGTATCACGCATGGAAGATGCATAACTTACAGTTCCTGCATCACGGTCCGGATCGTAATTTCAAACATGTTCTTTGATGACGATCGTCTGTTTTGTTCTTATTCCTTGGTTTCCGCTGCACTAAACATAATAAACATTATTCTCACCCTGTTCGCGTCCTTCTTTTCTTGTGTTTTGTGTCGTAACTACCGCTCCAGGAAAATGTTCGCTATCATACATTGCTACGCGTTTTTCCATCATCTAAGTGTAATCTATCTTTCCCAAATTTTGTAACCGATTTGCTGAAACACCCTGTATATTTATGTGTTGGTCTGCGTATATATGTGTATAAAACGAAAAAATACGAAATAAAAATGCAATTCAAAACCTAATCCTATCATGAGCTGAAAGCAGCAACAAGTGACAGATAATTTTAAAAATCATTCCATAATCAGTTTGGAATAAACATATGCAAGAACCAAATACCAGAAGTATACTAGCAAACTGCAAGTAATTGATGCAATGAAAGAAATTTAAAACTTAAAATGATCTAAAAAAACGATTAATGAAAGCAAGTTAGCAGTGCAAACAATTTGCACAATCACAGCATCAAAAAC